CCACCACCACCACCACCCTCCGGCCATCCCCCAAGCGAAGTGTCTTGAGATACTCTCGCCTCTCCTAGATGTGGAACTGCGCAAACCAGATTCGGGAGAGAGCTACAGGAGCGACAGTCAAATTGAAGTTAATCCGCCCAGGAAAACGAAGATAAAAAGTGTATATGTTTGCACGGATTCCTTAGTTATTAGGCTGTATTGTATTATTCTTACACGAACTGCGTTCTGAGCTTAAGACAGAAGAATCAGGGACTGGATGTACAGTATACGTTTTAAAAGAAAGTATTTTGTCGTTTATTAACGGGGGAGGGTTCTTGAATGTGTTTCGACTTCTTGACTCTTTATACTGCTAACGGAACAAGAGCACAGGACTGGGAACGAGGAGTAACGGTACTGTTACGTATTGGCTAGCAGCTTTATTGCGTACATAGAGACTCACGCCTCAGAACCTTGGACAGTAGCCGATACTCCTGGCTGCGTCCGACCTGCGCGCTTCAAATTCAGCGCAAACGGATGTAAAAAATAAGGACTAAAAGAAGAAAACCTGCGGGGAATTCGCCCGTTTTGGATTCAAGTGAGTATTTTTTTTTAATGTGTCTGGGGGCCACGCTCTCCTCTCGCCTGTCTTGTTTCCGTGCCGGACTTGAGGGTGCAGAAACCGCTGCTGCATCGGGCTAGTTCTCGGATTGTCGCGTCTGTTGTTCTCCGTGTATTTACACGGGCGGCTGGTTTTATGCGGATACCAAAATCACGTCTTTCCTTGATTGTTTTAAATAACAATTAAAATCAATGCCTTTTCTGTGGGGGATGTTTGCGTCGCTTGTTTCATGTTCGTGTTAGACTGTATATAACAAACGTACAGACAGGTTACGACCCACTACCGCGACTCGTTTTACTCACTGGGTCTCTAGGTACGTGTTATTTTACAGGATACCCGAAAATTATTTGAATCTTTACCACAATCACAGCGCTTTTCATCCTCAATATGCGCCCCTGATTTAAATAGAACCATTCTTGTGTTTTTCGAAGATTTCGGCCATTGTATAGGGCGAGTTTACATCATCGCTATTCATTTCATAGTGTGCCCAAGTGGATAGTAGATTTTTAGGAAATGTGTAAATATTAAACGATGGAAATGAATATTAATGAGAGCCTTTTGTTTCTCAGCACTGAAGAAGGGTGTGAATGTATATTATATAAACAGACATACGTGACGTGTAAAAATAATTTTAATGAGCAATCACCTCGTATGTTGTAATTAATGTTGTCGAGATCGTAGTGTAAGAAATTATAGAAATCATTTGGCAGACATAACGGCAGGATTTAGATAATTCTGTGTCAATGATAAATGGTAGCTGGTTTGACAAAAAGGCCGGGGCAACATTCAGCAAACAAAAAATGATTAGGGTGGTATTTTATCATGGCACTCAGACACTTTTGCTTGTTATCTTGTTATAGACGCACATATATAAATCCACCGTACACACACAAATCTGTCTGCGATCGGTCCCCCCCCCCAACCTCCAGACAGATGTTCATACACAACCCATACACACATACCGAGACAAAGAAATAAAGGTGTCACAATCGGTTTTTTACTGCTGGGTTTGAAACGTCGGGGGAATCTGATCAAGCGTGTGCGTATAGCAGGGGGCGGTGAGGCTATTTTATAACCAGAAAACACAAAGGCGAACAAATAAACTGGAAACGGAATGGTTCCCTGTTGACATACAAAAAAAAAAAAACGTCTAAACGATTATTGCTCGCTCGCACTGTTAATGCATTAGCACAAAATGGCGACAATAACGCTCATCGGGATTTTGGAAAAGCCACGTTTTGTTGTTGTTGTTGTTGTTGTTGTTAAAATCTGCCCGAATTCCATCATCGTCCGCCGTCCCCATGGCGATGGGTGCGCGCGGGGAACGGACCTCGCGCAGCTCGAGCCCACGTTAAGGATGGGCAGACGAGACCTCAGTTCGACACGGGGCTGTCTATCTGAGCTGTATAAGCGATTTTCCGTCCAGACATATAGGAAGGCATTGACTCTTTCTTTACTCATGCTTCCATATTTACTGCCAAGTATGGTGCTGGTAAAATTCCCATTTCAAAACGGCCGAAAGAGCGCTTAACTTCTCGAGTACAATCGAAACTCGGGACATTCCTTTTCTTTGAGGCAAAAGTGTTTACGTGCGAACATGAAAGGTAAATGCCGAGCGTTTTTGCTGTATCCTCGCTGACGCTAGGGCAATGTGGACGAGAGATAAAGGATGACCCATTTGCCGTGAATCAGGTATCGTGATCTGCAAACAGACCGTCGTAATAAAATCACGTTCTGTTTTCTACAGCAACCGTAAACGTTTCTAATAATGAATTTCGAGGTCTGTATTTTGGCAATTACAACGAAATTGAGTCATTATCAGCACGAAGAAGCGACAAAACAGATCGGGGACAAGTCTAGCACCTTTACTTTTGTACTTTAAATCATTTACAATTGCATGGCTGATAACTGGAATACAGTAGAATACTAAATTACAGTGAAGCACAGGGAGCAGGGAGAATTTCTCAGTTGGAGTGCCTGCACACACATGCTATTATCCCAGCTGCCATTAGATCACTTTCCCTTTTCTGTTTTTAAGAATACTGATGTGCCCCCCCCTCCCCACCTTTATCTCCAACAGACTCAGCTTTCCACAGGGGGGTCCGCAAGGAGAGGAGAGACCTCAGCCTCCTGCCTCAAAAGAAAAGAGCACCGCGGACCAGCCGCCTCCCAGCAGCCCTCCTCCACCTCCTCTGACAACGATCCCACCCCCCCCCCCCCGCCACCACGAGCCCCAGTCCAGTTTGGATGCATACAAGGAGCTGGGCCTGCTAGCCAAGGGTCTCAGGGCTCGAGAGCAGTGAGACAGACCCCCACAGACCCCCTGGCCCCCCCGCCGCCCCGGCCGCCCACCTCGGCACCATGGGCACCGTACTGTCCCTGTCCCCCAGCTACCGGAAGGCCGCCCTCTTTGAGGACGGCCCAGCCACGGTGGGCCACTACACGGCCGTGCAGAACAGCAAGAACGCCAAGGACAAGGGCCTGAAGCGGCACTCCATCATCTCCGTGCTGCCCTGGAAGCGCATCGTGGCCGTGTCCGCCCGGAAGAAGGGCTCCAAGAAGGTGCAGCCCAACAGCGCCTACCAGAACAACGTCACCCACCTCAACAACGAGAACCTGAAGAAGTCCCAGTCCTGCGCCAACCTCTCCACCTTCGGCCAGGACTCGGCCGCCCAGGTGTCCGCGTCCACCACCTCGGCCAACGGGGCCTCCTCCATCAAGAAGGCCCCCCCGGCCAACCCCACCGCCGCGGCCGGCACGCCCAAGAGGGTCATCGTCCAGGCCTCCACCAGCGAGCTCCTGCGCTGCTTGGGGGAGTTCCTGTGCCGGCGGTGCTACCGCCTCAAGCACCTGTCGCCCACGGACCCCGTGCTGTGGCTGCGCAGCGTGGACCGCTCCCTGCTGCTGCAGGGCTGGCAGGACCAGGGCTTCATCACGCCGGCCAACGTGGTCTTTGTCTACATGCTGTGCCGCGACGTGGTGTCCTCCGAGGTGGCCACGGAGCACGAACTGCAGGCCGTGCTGCTCACCTGCCTCTACCTGTCCTACTCCTACATGGGCAACGAGATCTCCTACCCCCTCAAGCCCTTCCTGGTGGAGAGCTCCAAGGAGGCCTTCTGGGACCGCTGCCTGTCCATCATCAACCTCATGAGCGCCAAGATGCTGCAGATCAACTCCGACCCCCACTACTTCACCCAGGTCTTCGCCGACCTGAAGAACGAGAGCCAGAAGGAGGAGGAGAAGAGCCGCCTGCTCATCAGGCTGGACCGGTGAGGGACGCGTGCAGGCGGGGGGCTCTGAGGGGAAGGGGCGGGGGCGGCGGCTTACTCTTGTCTGGCGTTTCGGGAGGGGGGGGGGATGGTGGGAGTTATCGGTGTCAATCAGGTCCGGGCCTCCCAATTCAGATCCGATTCATTCCCCCTCTTTTTGCTATAAAAGCAGCAGATCCCAGGAAGAGGAGATAACACCCTGTGACATGTTTATCTCCAGTAATGGATTTGTGTCAGGAACCTCAAAGCTGATTTCAGTTATGTAAACTGACTAAAGAACGTTTGAGCTCCAACACCAGGGCTCAGTCTTAAAACCCCGAAAGAGAGAAAGCAGCTGACCCCCTGAGGCCTCCTGTTCTCTGCCTGAAGAATCCCGACTGACAGCGTCAGCTCACCGCCTACATATCACACGGAGGCAGAGGGAACCGACCAAGCTCGACCTGCTCCGCCAGCGAGTCGGGCCAACTTGGGTGAGATCCGAACGGCTTTGTTCACTCGAGCGGGATGATTCCATGAAGATCCCTGGATCTGAGAATCAATATTTGAATGGAATGAAAGAAAAAGACAATCCCTAGTCGAAAAGTACACGTTTTTTCGCTCATTCAACCCCCTTTCTTAACAGAAGAGGAAGAAGAAAACAGGCCTGCCATCGCACACTGTGCTTGGGGTCAAGAACTCACCATCAGGGAGTTTTTGTGCTTGAGAGTTGTTAAAAATGGAGAGCAGACAGGCATTAAACAATTTCCTTTTAGAGCAGAGAGTAAGGGGTCAAGGGACTGCTTCTTGAAGATTTTCGCAAAATTCACAACGTGGTGATGCTCAGATCCCCAGTTCCCAACAAACACTTTGAAATTGCTGAATGTGTACAAGCCCGAGCCTTTGAAACGGTGGGGAGGTCAGCACGGGACGACAAGCAGAACTTCCGTTTCAGTTTCCCAGAATTCGTGGCTAGGGAAAAGAGCATCTAACCGGCCCGGGTCTGAGTTTAAATTAAGGGGAGCCGGGGGCCTTGAAGTACGAAACGCCAGACTTGAGTACGTTAGCCGTTCGTTCCAAAAGATCAACAAAACTCTGGAAAAAAAAAAAGACCCAAAAAACAAGTACAAGAACAAATGTGAACAAAAAAAAAACAACAACAAATAAGAAACACAGAGACGACAGGAAGTTGCTACGACAAAAAGGCTTAAGGGGAGGATGCTGGGAGTGACGTCAATGCCTCTGGATTATTCTCTTTGCAAGCCGGGCCGCCAGTGACTTTTGTGCCAACCATTGCTTTGGCATTGCACAAGGAGAGGGCGCTCTCCCCACCTGAGACTGAACTACCTGTGTGTCTTGATCTGCAGCAGAGCGGGGATGGCCAGGCTGGGCACTCCTGCTGTGTCTCTGCTGCTCCGTGTGTGTATGTGTGTGAGCCTACCAGTGCCAGAGTGGGGTGGGGGGAAGGGGTGGGTGGGTGTGGGGTGTGAGGGAGACCGCGGAGCACCAGGATGGTAAAGGGAAATGAAAAAATCATCTTCTGCCACCATTAAGGAGTGTTAAAGTTGACCTACTTTGTTTCAACAAATGGTGCAACACAAGAAACCTTGAATAACAGTGTTCCTGTAAAAGGTTTTGGATGAGATTCTAGTTTTGATATTTTAACTTTTTCACATATATACTGATGCGTGGATGTATAGGTGCCTGGAAGGTCAGGACCTGAGGGAGGAACTCATGTCAGCACACAAGAGGTGCTGTCACCTGTCCTCAGCTGCATTATCCAAGACAGACATCACAGGCAAAAGACGTTATTTAGCTCTTAAGAAACTTCCCCCTCCTCATTTTGGCTTTCTAAGATTCATAGATTCATTGGGAAAGATCTTCAAAGTCCCCTGCAAAACCACTGGTCCTATGTAAGGGACCCCATGGTAGAAACTCCCAAGATAAAGACTGTTCTGCAGTTGCTAGTTTAGCAGCGTACAGTATCTCTTGGAAAATTGAATTTCCAGAAGTAATTGGGTCATCCACAGCAGAATGAGATGGAAGACCCCTGCTGCCATAATCCAGGGGAAATCTAGTAGGTCTCAAAACACAACAGCGAAAATAAAACTGACAGTTCTCCAGCAAAACATGTATTTCATTTAACTTTATCCATTTATTTTGGGTGAACCCCCCTGATCCCCTGGGTCTGGTTACCCTAGAGTTAACCGAAGATAAACAATGCACACGAGACATTGTCAAACATCTTAGGAACCAGAGAGGATGGGGAAGAAATGTATTCAAAACTGGGGATGATCTTTGACGATCATGAGAATAACTGCTGTTGCTGAAGCTGTGACAGGTCTCAGCTCCAGACTGGAAAAGAGAGGGGGGGCTCTGATGAGTCACTGAAAAAAAGATCAAGTCGAACAGGAGACCAAAAATGGGAGAGGGAATAGGAAACCATTCAACAAGACGAGGAAGCCAATCAAATCCTAACTGTATGAAGGCCAAATATTAGCTTGATACCAGCATACAATCTAATCAGCTTCTATCTAAACGCACCACCAAACAGTATCCACTTCCAATCAAAACCTGGACAGCTCTGCAGTGTCCAGCCACAGGTGAATGTCAATCAATGGAAGATAACAGTATGTAAATTCTGGAAGAGAAGCGATTTCATTGTCTCTCTCTTTAATCTAGGTCTCAAAGCCTGGCCTTCAATATATATTTGTACCACAGGTTTTAAAAATAGCCAGAAGGCACGTGCAATCTTTTCCCCCACAGAGTGGTGCCTGTCTGTTCGGTGCACCTTTAATGTCAGAAGAACACTTTCTCAAGTCGCCTGGCAAGCGCAAAAACTATGTGGCAGTTCGGCGTGCTTTTAAACTGACGATCCCATTCGAGCGGAGGAAATTGACAGCAGCCTCGTTTTCAGAACACTGAATATTTTAGCCAGAAATCGTTCACGTCGAGGTGCCACACGTATTAACTGTTCTGTGTTCTAAGAAATCTGGCCCGGTTTCACGGGGGGCTGTGTTGTTACGGCTCAGGCTTAGGAAGGAAGAACGCTTCGACGTTCCGAACGGATTTCTGTTCAAAAACAAAAACTAGAAATAAGAAAAAAAGAGAAACTCGATCGTTTTGAAATAATTTGCCCGCTTTCGATCACTTTTACCTGTGGTATTGTGCATGTTTTCTTGAGTATTTGTGTCTTTGAATTTTCTTTCCAGAAATGAAAATGGCTACAAATATATGCACACTCAATTCTGTGTTTTTCTGTGCTCAATTTCCATTCAAAGAGAACTGTCTCTGGATGCTTCATATGTGTATTTATTTATTTTGTATGGGTTATTTTGAAAAAAAAATGTATAAGCTATGTACTGTACACTGGGGGGCGCTGTGCCCAATGAGGGTACGTGCGGCCTCCCACAAAATAAGGCTGGGGGTTTTTTTATTCTTATAGACCCTCTGTCAGAACTCCTTGCACCTGGATTTCTTTAGGATTCACGAAGAGCAGTAAAGACAGTGGCTTTTGGTGCTCTGTTGTGCCCTACAATAGGAAAAGGCACCTTGGCAAAAGACATCATGGGAACTGCAGGGGACTTGGGGCTTTTGGGGTCAGAGGTCGGAATCCCTCTCCCTCAATGTTTGGCCACTCCGATTCACTACAATGTGCCATCCTTTCTTTCTTTTTTTTCACTCGCAAAACACTAAAGTAGTTGTTGGAAAAAAATTCTAAAAGACTTGAAAAAAAAAATTACTGTTCCTTTTACTTCTTCTCTTTGCGTGTAACTTGTTGAGTAAGTCTTCGTTGAGCAGAGCAGCGTTCCTGGAATGCAGGTGGACTGCTTGCGAGAGTGACCGGCTGGGGGGGTCGGGTGTGTGTTTGTATAGGAGCACCTCATGGGGACAGGGGACAGGAAACAGGGAGAGGAATACGGATGGTGGGGGGTGGGGGTGGGAGTGTTGAGCTGTTATGATTGTTTGGAAAAAAAAAAAAGCTGTTGCTGTAATTTAACTTTTTTGGGGGGTTTGTTTGTTTCTGCTTTACTTTTTATTTATTTTTGTACTGTGATGGATAATAAAATGCACTGATTGTTCATGACGCACAAAAAAAAAGAGAAAAAAGTGTCTTTCACTGTCTGCTTTCATTCTTCCTTCTCAAATGCAGCAGCTTTTGGAAACGGACAGAGCTGGCCGAAAAAGAGTCCTATTAGCCCCAATGTCTGTTAAGAGAATGTGTAGCATGTAGCCTGGAGGCAAATTACTGACGAAAACGTGCAGCTAAAACTACAGTACAGAGGTACAGCCAAGATCTGTCCTCCACCTGTTCGTAATGGAGACGAGCCTCGTGGCAAACAGGATACTGTGGGCACCCAGTATGTTAACCTACAGTATGAGGTTTACTGCTGTGGCATTTCATACATTACCTGAGACGTTTAAAAGCAAGTAAGGACAAATGCTAATGATCTGAGGTAGGGAATAAATAAAAGGCAAGAACTGAATCAACACCAGCTCTTGAGAGCCAGAGATCTGCAACATAAAGAGTTCTTTTTCAGTTCGCTGCAGATTAAGACATAAAATGGCAATTTGCAGTTTAGAAACTAGTGTAAAAAGAAAAGACTTGCAAGTACAGATATCAAAGGCAGAACAATATTGGGACCTTCCAGAATCTCCAATTCTCAAACCCCCCCCTGCTCCGAGTCATTTTCTTTTACTTCATCTCTCAGGTTACTTTTTCTAACTGACAAAACAGATGTTGAAGTTGTCAAGTAATTTCACATTTCTAGAGAAGCTGTGTTTTTGGATGGTCCCTCTTTACAAATTAAATAACTTGTCTGACTTTTTTTGCAACATCCATATGACATGACAAAGCCATCATGTCTTGACTCAACCTGCTCTGTACAAGTCAAGCAAAACTGCTCTCAAACTGGACTAATGAAGCCCAGGGCAACTAGAAGAGCTCAATGAAGGTATAGACAGGGTGCTATTTCTGGTTTCTGGGCATCTGGGAAAAGAAGTTATAACAGAAAGGCAACACAGTGGCCATTAAAGGAATTCAAGAACTGTTTAAATGTCACCCCTTTAAATACCGTTCAAGTCCCATCATGTGTTTTTTTAACATAGTGACTGAAACTGTATACTGTACATGCAGTATATTCTAAATGATGTCTCACCTAGAGCATGGTAGACTTTTAACAATATTAAATTATGCTTTTTATCTTAGTTCTACACTGTACTGTATATCCTAACATTCCTTTTTTATTGCTTTCCCACATTGTCATCCTGGATTGCCGAAGATGAAGATGAAGTGTCTGCATAAACAGCTCCATTTTTTTAGCTGCTCCAGTCTCGCGGTGTCCCATTTTATATTTATAGTTTATATTTTTTTGCTACCTGCATGTAACACTCTGCTCTTATTCCTATGAAATGCCAGCGGTTATTTCTATTTCTACATCTCTGTACACTTCCTTTTTCTGCTTCTACAGTGATTTTTTGCGACATCCGCAAACCTAATGTATTAGCCACGTTAGGAGCAGAGACCCCAATACATCCTCTGCGCTGCTCCGCTAACTACATCACCCCAAGCTGAGCACTCACCCCTTATCTGCAGTCTTTTTATTGATGTACCAGTCATCAATCGGAATACATGCATTTCCTTTAATGCCTGCCTTCAGCAATTTAATAATTCATCTCCTGTTTCTCTCCATTACTGCTCTTGCATGTTCAAAGAATTGTGAAAGACCTACATCTTCTAAAACAATGTTAACTGTCCCACAGAATATATTTTATAGTATACACTATTATATACAGTATATCAATACATTATCTTCTCTAGCATGCCTCTGATTTTCATTTCTATAACCTTGGCTGTCACAGAATTAAGACTTAATGAACTAGAACTACTTGGTTTGTTAGTTAATGGACGTTGAATAACATTTATTGTCTCCTATAAAAAGTACAACAGACAGAATGCCAGGAGGACCTTGTGATTTGTTCTTTAGTCCTGCAACACTTCTGTTATGCATTAAGATATTGGGTTATAGCAAAAGAAAGTTCTATTAATCACCTAACCATGTGAATTTTCATTGACCTTTATACTGTAAGGAAGAGCCAACACTGGATTGATAATTTAGTGTGTCCATGGACTTCTCCATTCTGCCATACAAAATCAGCCACCCTTGCACTCACCGACACAGACCTTACTCATTGTTGGAATCTACTGTTGGATAAATATGCATGCAAACAATAAGAAAATAAGAACTGATACAATGTGACCAAAACACCTAACATTCAGATTTTCCTCTTCGCCAGGTACTTGGATTGTGCTGAAAACAATTCAGAGATTAACGCTAAAGCAAAAGAGAGTTAATCCATCCATCCATTTTATTACCACTTTGTAAAATACGGGGTCACGGGGGAGCCTGAGCCTATCCCAGTAAGCAACAGGAGCATGGCAGGACACACCCTGGGCAGGACGCCAGTCCCTCACAGGGCAGACACACACAGACCAGCACACACTCGCACCAGGGCCAACTTTCCCAGACCTGCCAGTATGCCTTTGGACTGTTGGAGGAAACCTACTGGAACACAGGGAGGACATACGAAATCGAGTTAATTGCATTCTTAAATCACAGTGTCATTGTCACTTGAGGTGATATCATTCAGGTGGTGAAAGGGAACGTAGCTGGAAGTTCCTGAAATGCCTGCCCTGCCGATGGCCGAGCTGTGCCACTGGACAGGTATGGAGAGGGACGGCGAGCTGCAGGAGCAGGCAATGACATGTGACTGCCGTGCTTTCTCCCAGCCCTGCTGCACACCTCTCACTTCTCCTCCTCACGCCATCATTCGGACCTGCAGCGTAGGCGACCGAGCACAAACGACCGGACGACTCCGCCAAGGTTTTTACAGCAGGACCCAGAAGCAGCAGCAGCCTCACTGCAGGCTGTTGCTCCACACTGCACAAGAAGAGCCACACCCCCTCTGCCTCCCCTCCCCAAGCCCAACCCCCCAGATAAGTAAAGAATGAAACCAAACTGGATTTTCACAGGTCCCTTAAGAGCTTCCTTACATCTTTATTGCCTGATCTGACTGATTCAAATACACATTATAGTAAAAAAAAAAAACTGGACACAGAGGCAAATCAAGGTACACATCCAGCACACTGCTGCTGCTAATACATGACCTTACATTTCTTCATGGGTGTTCCTTGAGATTCAGTGCACTTGTCCACTCCCTGCGGAGAGCACTGCCCTGCCTAGTCAACAGGGGGCGGTATTTTCTCATCTCTGCTATGTGGAACGCTTCCCTGTGCCCACTCTTTGCCAGACTGCACCGTGTTCCTGCCAGCTGTGCCAGCCCGCTCAGTTAACGGCTTCCCAATTCATCCTGCTGTTCATTTCTTCTTTGATTCCTCGAAACGCGCGTCCCGATTCGCTCGCCCACGGCGCTCAATTATCCCGGGAGCGTGACTCATATTGGCCCGGCTCGGTGCTGATGGGCCATCAGGAGGCGCCAGCGGGGCCATGTGACCCAGCACCCATCTCCAAACCCCACCTCCACACCCCCTCACCCTCCCTGCTCCCCGGGAGGAGAGGCGAGGTCCTCAGCTGCACGGCACTGAATGCGGGGACCGGCTGTACCAGATTGTCTGTGGGCTTCAACTCATCCCCTCAGCTTGCAGCCTGTTCTCTAATAAAACATCCCTTTTTGCCGTCGCACAATGCCTGATCCTAAGGAGGCAGTACCACAGGGGCAACGATCCAGGGCCATGACTGCTCGTTGCAAACAGCACATTTTATTTTTAACGGAGAGGGCAATTGGCCATCCTGCAATTTGAATGTATTGGCTAAGCAGGTACCATGGCTCTCCATTATAAGAGCTGAGCCCTTCACAGCTCCTGTTCGGGGGGCTGAGGTCAAACTGCACTGAACGTCGCACACAGTCGGCGAATTACAAGAGGCGAATTACCATTCTGCTGCCTGAAGTTGAAAAGGCAATTTCATGTATAAAAAAAGAACTGCTTTATTGCGCCATGATTTCAGTCCATCAAAGGCCATCAATAAAATACATTGGAAAATATGTATGCAAAAACCATGAGGCACATTACCCTGATAAGCATATATAAATATCCACTTGAGTACATAAATATCAAGTGAAGGAGTATGCACTGAATCCATGTAGGAAACAAACACCAGATCATACATACTTTGTGATGCCTCCCAAATAAGACCCAGTGTGCACAGTCATTACATAAGGGTTAGTCATTTTTAGGCACTTTGATAAGACAAGAAGCAAGTGCAGTAATTAAAAAACAAGACAAGCCTCTCATCCATCTCACCTTCCAAAGCACTTTAAGAAGACAGTTCCTTCAGTTCAGATCAAATACAATTTAAATGTTAAAGAGCCTTCTTTTACAATGGTTCTACTAGGAAGCTGAACCAAGAGAACCAGTTCTGTCAATAGATTAAAAACTAACACTTTCACATCTGCTTCTTGGACAAAAATACATTGATCTTCAGAACTTATCTAATCAGCTAACAATTAGCAAATGTCTTCGAGTTGCAGGATATAGGCCTAATGATTCATACTTTTATTGTAATTTTCACAGTTTTGATAACAGCAATGAAATACAGACAAAAATGGTACATTGCATATACCCTGTGATTGTTATACTTCATTAAGAAAGCAATAACTTCACTGATTGATTTAAATTAATCTTCAGATGAGACAGTCCCCTGTGAGTATTATACTTCATTAAGACAATCATCATCCCACTGATTGATTTAAATAATTCTTTAGAGAGAACAAGTCAGTTCAATGACTTTCCTTTCTTCCCTCTTAATTTACAATACCCTCCTGCTTACAAAACGACCGGTCAGATACAGATACTGTTTATAGGTTACTGCAGTCTTGAAGAAGGTATTTCACCCTGGCTGCTGCAGGCCAGTGAACCACTACTCAGGAAAAGCCCAATTAAGTTGAATCAGTCTACTGGGCAATGGGGAGTTTTGTGTCCCTGCACAGGCACTGCTGAAGTCAAAACCAGGGTCTGGCAGTCAGCTGCACCATTTCTCACAGAATGCCATCATAGTCCAGATCAGCCTTAAAAACTTCATTCCCATCCAGATTTACCATTTACATTACAGTGAGGATTCATGCTCAGCTAGGCCTCCGTTTAAAAGTTACAGTGGGGGGGAAAAGGGGTTCCTAACTTATTTTTCATTGAGAAACCTCAGTATGAACTGAAGACCCAAGCTAGCCCATGTGGTGCCCTTACTATACGTCACCAGGTGTCAAAGAAACCCAAAGCCCTCCTTGCTTGGCACAAGGCCACAGAAAAGGACTCACCTGTCACAGGTGGGCAAAGAGGAAGCATCACTCCAGGTGTGTGGAGTCCGTTCCAACAGCTGTATCTAATCTGACACTTTCTCCCTTTACAGCAATCTGAAGCTTCACAAACAGTCGTCTGGCACATTCTCTTCTACTGTTAAATCACATGAAGTAGGCCAAGCACTGTGGGAGCTGCTTTCAAAGCTCTGAAATGCAATTCTACTAAATCTGTGAGCAAGTGTAGTATTATATATAATATCTACAGAACTATATTATATTATACTATTATACTATAACTATATTATGCAAACAGGAACATAAGGACCAAAGAGGACTTAGGGCTAAAGTGGCTCTTGCATCATTTGGTATTGGTGCATTTGGTGGCATTTTAAGTTTTGTCCTGAGAAAAACCTTCAAACATAAAATTCCTTAGGAACACACTTGATTTCAAAGTATTGCTGCATTTGGATAAATTCTATGTTCAGACTCGTCCATTGACAACTTGATCTTCTGACCCAGGTTTTGGAATATGAATCTCCACCTGATGTTGCTCACCTGCCCTTCAATGCAGCTGGAACAGCTGGACGTCTGGATCGTGTGTGACCCTGCAGAACAGTGACCCATGCCCGTTTATCATGGTAATTAGGGTCCAGATGTGTTGTTCATGGGCAATACATACCAGCTTTCACTCATCCATTCTGCAAAGTGAGAACGGTGCTACAGCCTTTCAACAGCAGGATTCACTAATTAAACTCAGTGCTGTACGTCTAAAGAAGGGGATTATCTGTTCAAGCTGACTGAGATAATTAGCTGTACCGATGCCCTAGGGCCAACAGATAGGATTGCAATATATTTAAACAATTCATAAAGTGCTGGGTTATTTCCAAAAAAAGATGTACAGTAGCTAATACAATGAAAATAATGTGATTTTATTTTAAATATTCTTACAGAATACATTTTTGAGTAGTGTTGCAATCTCTGAAAGTAAAACTTTACGTTACTGTTTAATTGCATGTGTACACAGCATATATATATACAGTACATATATATGTAAAAACAGAGTTCATACATTTTTCTTACCATTGGGATTTCAGTCTATTGCTATTTGCTTTAGAAGTAGCTTTTCAACATTACAATATGCTCTGCATATCTTTCCAATAATTTAAATCTGTGTATAAATATATCTTTCCACTGGGAGAGACAGTAAATGTATTATTCTTATTTACTGGTTAAACCTGCCAGTAGGCCTTTTGTAAAGAAAGTGATAACAGCTCAACATAAAACTTCCCACGGAGAGGACACCTCCAGATAAAGAAGGGGGTTGCTTTTCTAATATCAGTTGGGCCCCTGGCCCGCTGCACACTTCTGTGGGAGACTGGCACTGGGTTCACACCAGTTTGGACTGAATTACAACCCAGCAACTTCAGAGGAAGGCTTCCTCGACAGGCTTTGTTTAGTCATGGTTTAAGAACATGCACATGCAGGGTTTTGTTTTCAATTTTGAAAACACGTAGAAAAAAAGAAATGAAAGCCCCCTTTTTATGCATCCAACAGTCTCTCTCGCCACCGGTTAGGGAATGCTTCAGAACCAGAAGCCAATGTAGAACATTTTTTAATTGCATCTCCATGACTTTTTCCATGACAGTCCCTCTCTTCCTGCTCTATTAATGCAGCGCTACAGTGTCCCTGTCTTTCGATATGGGACAAACAAGGCTCTAAGCCAAGTTCCTAACTAATCCAAATCCAATTAATTTGAGACACTTCTGCAAGTAGACTGTTCTTTGCAGAAAGTTTCGGCCGTGGAGTCTTCTTCAGGTGTGGTCTCCCACCTGAAGAAGGCTCCATGGCCGAAATGTTGTGTTATTTCTTTTCTCTTTTCAGCAGGGAATAAACCTGTTACTTGTTCCCTTGTAGCCTACACATGCTGATGCAGCTCCCCACCTGTTCCTTGCACAGTTCTCTAACTTCACTTTGTTAAAATTTACTCTACACTAGCAGACCTGCTGTAACACACCATACTATTACACTCTGTCAGAAAGCCATGAGTTACGATATAAAGTTAAAATGAGACAGATCTTTTAAAAGGTGAATTAAACAGATTTTTAAAAGAGGATTTAAGTGGATTATTTTAAAAAGGAAGTGGGAAGGTTACTTCTCCCCCCCAGTAATTAAATGGGGCTCAGCCCTTCAACACTTACCTGACCAAAGCTGAATATTTATGGCTTCATAGAACGAATTCATTTAACTAATAATATTCTTTATAAAATGGCTATCTAAAATGCCATGATACTTTCTGAAGGGGTTACCCACAGGGTACCCAGAAATCTGAGGGTGGCGCTCTGCTCTAAAAACTGTCCGGAATTCACAGACCCCTCCCTCGTCGTCTTGGCAACGCCCTCCAGCTCCTTCAGTTGGCAGGAACGGACAGGATGTAGCCGGAGCGGCTCTTCGCGAAGTCCGGGTGCGATTGGTTGATCTTCGTCTCCACGACGACAGTGCACTTCCTGCCATGCATGCTGCACTGGATGGGGCTGGCGATGCTCACCTGTAGCTTCCGCTTCTCACTGGGAGACAGGAGACAGAGTGATGGAGTGAGGGATGGAGAGAGGCCAAAACGAGGGATGGGCCGAGTTAGGGAATGCGACGATTAGCCACGAGCACCGTCGTTGACAACCGCAAGGGCTCCAAGGCATCGGGGCTCGAAAGGACCTCATTATCCTTCACGTGGAGCCAAAGAGATGAGGAGCAAGAAAGCGCACACATCTTCAGAGGACTGGGAACGGCAAGACTATAAGACACCAAGAGAAGGTGCAGAAGGATCCCAGGCTAAGATATCACCCAGTTCCCGGCTGGCCTAGTGACTTTTAGTTTTTGGTTCAACCTAAGAGGTCAATGAAACTTGTAGGACTATTTTATGAGACGTATATAGATTTGGGTGGCATAGCGGTGAGCATTACGGCCTCACAGCGCCGGGGCCCCAGGTTTCAATTTCTGGGGTGCTATCTGTGTGGAGTTTGTATGTTCTCTCCGTGTTCTAGTGGGTTTCCGGATCCTCCTCCCACAGTCCAAGCCATGCTAAAGGTGAATACGCCTCTGGAAAAACCGGCCCTGGTGTGAGTGTCTGTGTCTGCCCTGTGACGGACTAGCATGCTGTCCAGGGTGTATCCTGCTGTGCGCCGTTTGTTTGCTGGGACAGGCGCCAGCTCCCCTTCCACACTGAACTGGATCAAGCCGTTAGAAAATGGCTGGGAGGACGTATATATGGATACATACAGTAGGGTTCTGACAGCTAATTACAGAAAACAATTGCTTTAGGTACAGTTTCCTATTTCACGCATCAGAGCTCGGTTAGCAGCACTGTAACTCGGTTAATTAAACGATCAGGCAAACTTCACAACTGGAAGGAAAGACAGTGGCACATTCCAGGAGCCGAGTGCGGCTCCCGATCCTGCAGTGGGAGGCGGCAGACTGCCTCTGGGAGATTACCAGCCCACTTCCGGGGCAGGCGACGGAGGCAGAGGCTGAGGTCCGAGCCCAGTATTAAGCACACGTCACACCAGAGCCTCAGTGACTCTGAGGGCACTAGGGACGCTGCCAAGCAGGATCAGTGGATTGAAGACCACTGGCCAGCGGAGCTTTAAACGGCTTATGCAACAAGGATAAAGGCAAGCAGCTGGAAACGGAATGGGATACAAGGTGGAAAGTGTGGCGGGGGGGAAACTCAAAGGAGATTTCAGCGCCAAAGCAGGCCTGGGGAAAACGCCACCTTTCTCTGGCGCTTTAAAGAAAGTGACCCCCCAATAAACAAAGCCTCCCGAAACGCTGCTCACTCGCTCGCACAAGCACTATCTCACAGAGCCAGCCATACTGTACCTCTGCTCTTTGGGCAATTACAGAAGACATCAGTGCCATGGCGCTCATCGTCACCATGGCAACTGGTGATTATTCCATCTGCTGCTGAAAGTGCGCCAGCCAATCGGCACGTGCCATTGATTGCCGCCGCTCCCTCCCTCTCCCCTGCCCCAGGGGTGACGGTACAGCCCGCAGTCCCGTACAGAGGTGCAGGAGCCTGAGGCATAAGGCAGGCTGTGTGGAAGGACTCCTTCTTCCAAATGCGATTTCCCTTTTAATGGGATTCAATCTGCAGATGGCTGGAAAATGGCTGCGCCAATACAGCTGGAGAGGCCTGCCTATCACAGCGGAGAGCCGTAACCCCCAATGCTGAAGGTCAGGACTTGCCTAATTTCTGTGCCAATATAAAAGCAAAGGTCCCAATGACCTTTTTTCACTTGCAGAATGGCACCTGGGTTTGTTGAAGTCTTCTGGGAAGGGAAACCTTGCCTGAGATACACACATGGAATCGGAGCACTTGAGTTCTGACCATCACTCCACACTGCTGCCCCTTGAGCCCTGACCAGTACTCCACATTACTGTCCCTGAGCCCTGAGCCCTGACCAGTACTCCACACTGCTGCCCCCTGGGCCCTGACCAGTACTCCACATCACTGTCCCTGAGCCCTGACCAG